AATTGCTAACAAATATTGTCGGTTTGGCTCGTTATGTATCGTCGTTAGCTTCACGAATTTTAAAACACGTTTGTTAGGAAGAGGTTTCTACATCTTTATCAGGAATGGTTCGTTCCTATAATCTACCCCATTGGAAGCCAAGCGTTCTCTAATACACCGCTTGGTGCTTGGCTCTAATACCATTTGCGAGAGTTCAAACCCATTGCTAAGAAATATTATATGCTTTAGCTTATTACATGTCGTCGCCAATCTCACGGTTTTAAAAACACGTTTGTTAAGGAGAGCTTTCTACAACCTTATAAAAAATGTTTCATTCCCTTCTCCAACTGATGTGGGATCTCACTATCATAGATCACTACTTCAAGTCTCAAATTTCGTCAAAAATTTAATGGATTTCTATTTTAAGAGTAGTTTTGAAATATTTATGAAAGATCGGGAGATAACATAACGAAATTTGAAATAATAAGGGTGTATATCTATCATTAGCCTCGAACCTCAAAAAGAATACCTCCAATCAGTCGACGGTTGGGACGTCTTTATTTTATAATAAGAAATTATTGCCAGCAGTCACATAATATGGTTAAATTCTCATTGATTTTTGGAATATGTATAGTAAAAATAACCTAGCTAACATTCAACCTTAGAAAATTGCCTTTGATCGGTCCTGCATAGTATACTCACTATTATTATTACTGATCGTATCATCGTTAAATATAATTTAAAAAATTACGTTTAAAGTAGGTAATATCATATTATTGTAAATATACGTGAAAATTCTATTATTATCCTCGACAATATTATTCAACTTCTGAACTTTTTATATATGACAATAGGAACGATGACATTGAATAATTTGAAAAGTGAAATAGATCGGATCGAGATCGAGATCGAGATCAAGCAATGAATGTGGGGTGATAGTTGGGTTTAGCATTATGTGTAGCGTAGGGGCATGGGATGTCCCATGCGCATGCAAAAGCCAGCCGGCCGCTGAGCTTAATTATATCTTATTGCTATCTTTGGCTCTCTCCTCCGCCGGAGAGTACAAAATGGAGGGTGGTCCAGCCGCATGCTTTATTTATTTATTTTTTCCCTTTCTTTTTCTGCCGATGCTGGCGGGCTAGCTGCAAACTGCATGGCATGGGGCGGCCAATGGCCAATGGCCTGCTTGATTTGGAGACTCTTCTTCCTTGTTGTGCATCATAACATGCCCGCTCACCCATCTGCTGCCATTCATTCCTCTCTCTCTTTTGTTTTTGTGTGTCTGTCAATCTAACCTATACTCGCCCCATAAATGCTACTCCTTGTCTCCTAATGTCTACGGCTTTAGATTTAGGAAAATGCCCACTCTCATTAAAGCCTCCAAATTTTCCAACTTTTGCTCGGTTCGACCAAAGGTCGGTTCAAACCTTAGCTCAGTTCAATCGTACTCGTGGATATAATGCTTTTCACTGGTTAAGCTCATTGCAGCATTGAAGGGACTTCGAGATCTAACTATTAAAGCTTCTTTACTCAATCTCGACATATAATTTTGAATATTGTCCACAATTTTAATTTTTTATAAGTTTCAAAATAAAATAGGTTATTTAGACCCTTTTAAAAAAGTTTAAAGTTAAATGTAAAGAAATTTATATGTGATTTGTTTTAATATACATTAATTTATTTCCGTATATATAATTGATAAGAAGATAAAAATTAATAATAATATATATAACTTAAACTTTTCCATTAAAAATATATGCTTTTTATCAGTTAGATTCAAAATTAAACGGTTTTTCTTGGGTAATTTGTGATATAAATAAAGATAATTAAAAAATAAATTCTCATTTAAGTTTGGCTCACGAAACGACGCCGTATGTATTATGGAATAACGTATTATTTTTTGTTTCTAGCGATCTCGATTGGTAGCAGCTAGGAGCATGTCGCTTATATTTGTAATGTTGCAATTAAAAATATACACCAAACTCTTAACTCTAAAGTTAGTTACGTCCGTATTAAATGGTAGCATATGCTACAAGAAACTGCCAGTTTGTGTGGGATTGTGACATTGCAACCATATGACATTGATGTCTTTTTAATGTTTCATGGTTTTATGTAGCTTTCCTAAGTTGTTTTTTGCTTAGCTTTCAAATGAAGCATCTAAACTATAGAGCAAGAAGTTTGCACGTATTAGAAATCGAGAATATTGGAGGAGCATAACATTTTTTATAATGGTGTGGAAACCTCTTTCTAACAAATGTGTTTTAAAACCGTAAGGCTGACCGTGATACATAATAGGTCAAAACAGATAATATATGTTCGTGGTGTTTAGTGCGCCAGTGAGGACGCTCGGCTCCCAAGGGAAGTGGACTGTGAGATCCCACATCGGTTGGAGAGGGAAACAAAGTTGTTATAAGAGTGTGGAAACCCTTCCCAACATATGCTTTTATTAAAACTGTAATGCTGACCACGATATATAACAGGTCAAAACGGATAATATTTGTTAGCAATGTCCAGTGTGCCAGTGAGGACGCTGGGCTCCCAAAGGAAGTAGATTGTGAGATCCCACATCGGTTGGAGAGGGAAACAAAGTATTCCTTATAAGAGTATAGAAACTTCTCCCAACATATGTTTCGTTAAAACTGTAATGTTGACGACGATACGTAACGGGCCACTGAGATCCCATATCGATGGAAGAGAGAAACACCGTCTTCCTTATAAGGCTGTGAACACCTCTCCCTAACAGACGCTTATATTACGATATGTAACGGGTTAGAGTGAACAATATTTGTTATTTTGAGGCTCAATACGTAATTTTCTATGTAGTTTTTGGTAAACGTTACTTTCTCGGAATGATAGCAATTTTTAATGTGGGATTTGGTCGCCTCTTATTATCAAGGAGTGTTGATTAGCAATGAAATAAAAGTAGATTGAAGAAGAATTATTAGGAGATTTTAACAATCGATTGTTTTTAAAACATTATTCCAATTTTATACGCAACTTTTAGTATATAGTTTGCTTTAAAATTAAGTATAAAGAGTAGTTGTTGGTACGGAATTTGTCACTTCTTCTTTATAATAAATATGATAATTATTAGGGTTTTTTCCAAAAAACTTTATAATAAAAAAGTTAGGTTAATTAATACGTGATTTTCTTTTAAAGTGAAAGGATAGGCATGGATCTTGAGATTGTTAATTCTGTGACAAAAGGCTATACATAGCCCATAAGGGATTGTGTAAATTAAATGCTGAAATTACTATAAGTATTCAAAGAATTTTATTTATTTTATATATATATATATATATATATATATATATATATATATATATATATATATATATATATATATATATATATCAATGCAATTTCTTAATTTGTAAATTGCTTTCTTGGATTGCTACCTTCCATTAATGATTGGTCCTTGTAGGAGTAATTAGAATACTACGGGTTGAAATTATTAATTAATAAGTAAATTCAGAAAAATTCAGGAAAAAAAAAACTCAAATTTGTTTAGAAATATCTAAGAGTGGTTAAATTTGTGATTTTTCAAGTATATAAATAAATATTAACAAATAATATTGTAAATAATTTTTTTTTTTTAAATTAGTTATAGGCATTTTTTTTTTGGAATAATTAAATTCTTTTCGCTCCTTAAATAATTTCAAATATTATGTAGGCTTTAATCAATGGAGGGAAGTTGAAGTTAGTATATCACAATGATTTTTTTAATCTTTTGGTAATTTTTATTATTTTAGGGTTATTTTAGGATGATTTTTATTTTTACTGTTGAGGTGTGAAATGACTATTTTATCCCTTTAAAAATGCTCTAATTCGTTAGGAGTCTGGACCCATATGAAAATGTTGTCTTCATGCAACTAGGCTCTTTATAAAAAATCTCTAACCACTAAATGACCCGTTTATTGTCAACTTTATTCCTCTCTTTAAATTTAGCAAATATAAATATAAATGTAAGAGAAAAAAAACAGTTGAAAAAGCAATCTCAAAATTAAAATGGTTAGAAAACCTAAAATCTAAATAATAATAATAATAATAAAAAAGTATCTAAGTTGCAAGAAGCAAAAAAAAAAAAAAAAAAAAAAAAAAAAAAAAAAAAAAAAAAAAAAAAAAAAAAAAAAAA